CTTCTGACCGACATCGAAAACATGTTTTCGTTGCTAAAACTAGTTTTCGACCTAAAACATGTGTTTTCGTCCACGTAAAATCTGTCAAACGAAAACCAGTTTTCGCTGAAAACTACTTGAAAACTCACGTTCCACTCGTTCCAATCAGTGTCTTCACTAGTTTTTTTTCGATTATTTATTAAAGTGGAAGTCATATTTTATCATCTTTAATACGCTATTTCGTATTTATTTTTAATTGGCTGGCCAAAGTAAAATAAGAATGAAAGTAAGAGGTTGCCAATGAAAAGAAAATGTGGGAAAAGCATTTTGGTGTTGTTTTTGTGTAGCAAAACTGCAATGAGAGGATGTAAGAAATGTCAACGAAAACACTAACAGCCGGTGTGAACAGCCTTCAGCCCGCAATTCCAAAACTCGTTTTCAAAGTGTTTTCGTTGTCGGTCAGAACATGGTATTAATTGGAATGCAATGGAGTGCACTAAAACGCTCACTATTCTCTAATAGATTAGGTGAAAAATTCAATAGTTTCGCATTTACCTAATTAAAACACGTTTTTCGCTGTAAAGTGAACTGTTTTGGCAGTTTCAACTCGTTGTTCTTTTCGCTATATTCTTTGTTTACTTGTGGTACACAAATGTCAACGCCCAGGATGGCGCTATCTTGTATTCAATCATTCTTGCTAACTAACTTCGCTGTGGCGGCGCCCTTATATACCTGCGCTCGCACTTATGGCAACTCAAGAACGTTTTGAAGTTTATCGCTCATTCTCTTTCTCTCGCTGTTCGCAGTGTTCATCCAAATTGACGTTTCTCTTTGTGGAACATTCTACGTCATTCCTCGAACATTCTGCCCAAGGCGAATTAATATAAGGTGATAGCAGGAGTACAAAAACAAATATCTACATGTATTTTGTTTTTGCTTTGGCGGCATAAACTGTCAAAATCTGTAAGAGTGTGTGTAGAAATTCAAACAAAATTTTTCAATTTGATATCAGAAGCCGTGCGGCGAAACACATACACAAAATCAGCTGAGCCACCACCTTATATAAATTCGCCTTGATTCTGCCTATTTCTCGTTGTTCGCTTCGCGTTGCCGCAGTATTCGCCACAATATGCAACAAAAGAAATGGGTTGATCGAACGCGCTTTCAAACAGAGTTCATCCCGATGCCTGTTAATACATGTGTCATTTATTAAAAATGATAAACATGGAAAAATAATAATTAAAGACTCAAACAGCCTTGTAAAAAGGATATTAGCTATTAATTTTATAACAAAGCTTAGACTAAATGAGATACGAACCGAAACATATTTGGGAAATCCTTCGAGGTTTCAAGGATAATCGTAACAATATAAATATATATATATAAAATATATAAATAACCGATAACTTTGCAGTGTCC